TTTGCCCTGAAAGTAAGGACGGAGATGAATTGAATCTCCCCCCCCCCTCCCACTTTCTCAGGCTTGTGGCAGCGTGGAAGCATCTAATCTCAGTATGGCTTCCAAAGCTGACAGAGTGGTTGAGTGGATTTTCCAGCCATCCAATCAAGGCTGATGTTCGCAGATGGATCAACCTGTGGTCTCCTTCAGATCCAGCCAAGGAGCAGATGACGGAAAGTCGTAATCTAGGGCGTTTGAGGTGGATCCAGTCCTCTTGGAGGTTGAGGGCGTAACCTTGGTCAGAAGTTTACATTCTGAGCTCCTGCAATTGTCCACTTCTAATTCCACACCCCCTATCCATGTCTGTCTGTCTGTCTGTCTGTCCGTCGTCCCAGGTCTGGTCACCGGCTGGTCCTTGGCCTTCCTCGCCGTCGAACGCTACATCGTGATCTGCAAGCCGCTGGGGAACTTCCGTTTCAACGCCAAACATGCTCTGGTGGTGGTGGCGACCACGTGGGTGATTGGAGTTGGGGTCGGTCTTCCCCCGTTCTTCGGCTGGAGCAGGTTTGATGGGCACAGAGAGGAACCAGAGTAGTTTCTCCTCCAGGAAGTGTGTGTGTGTGTGTGTGTGTGTGAGTGTCAGACTAGAGGACCTCTAAGGTCCCTTCCAGCCCTAGGATTCTGTGATTCCCTTCATATTCTTGCTTGAACGAATATGTGATGAAATCATATGATGCCCAGCTAAGGGAATTAGGTATGTTTAGCCTAGAGAAGGGAAGGTTTGGGGGCAGGGGAGGGCAGGGATTCTACCGGTTCAGACCGATTCGGGCTGGCAGCGAACCGGTTCACTGTGATGAGCATCTGCCCCCCCCCTTCCACTGCTCTTTCCTGTCCTTTATTTCCTTTTTTTAAAGCACAGCTAATGCTGTGCCTCGGCTGTTTTATTCACAGGGACTGCAGTAGAAGGTAAGTATTAGAGCTTTTCAAAATGCGGAGCGTGCATGCAAAGCCTGCGATCACTGAACTGGTTCTTATCCTGGAATCCCACCTGTGATTACCCAAAGGGGCGTGGCACAAAGGCAACACAGTCAGATAACCAATAGAAGTCCCTTTATTCGCTCCAACTTTACCCCCAGTGTCCTGGTTACCTTCTGGGCTGGAGAAAAACTCTCCCAGGAACAGCCTTTGGCTGCAGAGAATCAAGTCCAAAACATGGTCAACAAAAACTGTAACTATAAGTCCAATCAAGGCAAAATGAGGTAATTAGTCCGGCAGGGCAGGAGAAGGAATTCCAGACGTGAAGGCACGGCAGTAATTTAACCCAGTTAGGAGGATGCCAGGAACACAGATAAGCAAAGTCAACACAAGACAAACTCACAGTTGGTCCCAGCAGCTGCCGCACTCAGTATGCATCTCTTTTAAACTCTTGCTCCCAGGTGTGACTAGTGAAGGGAATCAGGGCCCTTTCCTCCCCCGTAAGCCACGCAACCCACATTGCTCTCTTCTCCATTCCTCCCTGCGTGCCCTGGGATGAAGAGGGGGTGGGCCTAGGTCTTCCTCTGAACTCCTTCTCCCTTGTTCTACCTGTTTCCTGCTCTGCCCAGCCGGACTTCACCCTTCCCCAGTTTCCTCCACAGCCAACGGAGCCACGCTCCCACTCCCTGTCAGCTGTTCATCTTCCTCCTCGGATTCAGACTCTGACAGGGCATAACACCACCCCTGCTTGGGGGGGGGGCATGATAACTGTCTTTCAGTACTCGAGGGGCTGTCGCAGACGATGGGGGTTGCACCCAAGGGCAGGACAAAAACCAAATGGGTGGAAGATAGTTGAAGAGAGGTCCAGTCTAGAAACCAGAAGGAAATTTTTGAGAGTGAGAATGATTAATCAGTGGAATAACTTTCCTCCAGAAGCTGTGGGTCTCCATCACTGGAGGTTTTCAAGAAGAGACCGGACAGTCACTTGTCTGAAATGGTGTAGGGTCTCCTGCTTGAGCAGGGGGCTGGACTAGAAGACCTCCAAGGTCCCTTCCAGCCATAGGAGCCTATAATTCTATCCCTGGCAACGTCTCTCCGTCTTCCAGGTTCCTCCCGGAAGGACTGCAGTGTTCCTGTGGGCCCGACTGGTACACGGTGGGCACCAAATACAAAAGCGAATACTACTCGTGGTTCCTCTTCGTCTTCTGCTTCCTCATACCGCTGACCCTCATCATCTTCTCCTACGCACGGCTTCTGGGTGCCCTCCGGGCGGTAAGTCACAGATG